TCAGATACGGTACAGCAAGGAATCATCGGTTCTACGATGATAATGTATATGGAGCAGTCATTGCGCTGATAACTAGTACGATATGCCTTTTGAGAAACAATGGCCACTTCTTATATTTTTGATTTGATCCTTGGCTATAAATCGATCAAGACACAGAGATAGTTTAACACGTTGATGAGAGAAATGTAGTGAGACTAGGAACATATAGATATGAATCAATTTTTTGGTTTTCCATGATTTTCGGTAAGGAAAGTTGGCGCATGGGGTAAGTTAGTGACTGTGTTGAATCGAATACATCACATTTCAAAGATAGTTAATACTCCTGTAGATTGCTAGCTTTCAAGATCCTTCATCTAAACTGTGAAATAAGTAATTTCTAATATGCCATGATGAGGTAACAGTATGCGTATAATGAAGTTGTGATAACCAATATGCTGACGCCTTCTATTATGTGTAGAGGCAAAACAAATTTTTAAAAATCACCTACGCCTACTTATTCCTAGTTAATATTCGCACACCTAAACATTTCTTCAGCATTGGAAGTCGTATATACTCCCATATTCCGTATCTTGTTCTCTTTGTTATTTCTTCTTATATCTCACATAACTCTTATCCATATTTCTCTCTAAAGCGATGTTTATTCGTATGTTCACTTAATGATTTTATCGAATTAAGTTTGACCTATAGTAAGTAAGTGAAAAATGGTTTTTAAGCTACAAGAATGGGGTTACCATCACTAAGATCTGTAGAAGAAGTAGTAAGTGGAAGTGGTTTACCTAATCTTATGAGGATGCGCAGTGATTTCCAATTCACACTCTTGCTTCAAAAATGAAAAGACAAAACATGAATCACTGCTAACAACGCTATGATGTCGGCCATTATCATATAAAAAGTATGATACCTGGTGGGCAACTTTACCATGTGGAACTAGTGGGCGTGGCCTCAGTGACTCATAGCAATCGATAATTCGAAAATCGTGTATTTCTTATTGCAAACTTGTAATCCTAGATACTTTATGCCTAATATCTGACTATCGAATTTAGTTTCTATTAGAAGATGGTCATCAGCCTATGGCTGCTTGAGTCCAATATGCAGCATTTTCGTACTTTGACTCACAAAAATCGTGCTTAGGCATGGGTTAAAACATTAGACAAAATACAGTGAGTCTTTTTAATCAGCTTCTACCAACTAGAATTTTTTTGAGTTGTGGGTGAATTTAAAAATTTTGCATTTTCATGTATTTTTTCAAAAAACTCAACTCGGTCCAATATGAAGCTACAATGCTGAAATTTTGCATCCATGGTTACGGTTCAAGGCTAACTCACTCAAAAAACTGCTTTCATTTGAATGATCAAATTTTACTCAAGCTTTTGAGTACTTTTCCTAGATCAACATTCTATTGGCATTATCTAACAAAGCGGTTCTGCGCGGTGGTTCTACTATTCCCAGAAAACTACGCCAACAACCAATTTATGCGGGTTCTCTTGCCAAAGCACGTAGCTCACGAGGAAGATCGCGACAAGTGCAACGAAGAAAACGTGGGAAAGTGCATTTTGAGCGGCTAAAGCTCGTGTACAAGCCAATGATAAACAGATTGAGCAAACCTTATTTATTAGGCTCTCTTTAATGTAAATTTCTAGCGAATTTTAGATGCGTTTAAAACTTTTGTATTTTTTGTGCCTTTTCGAAAACTTCGGAGCTGGAATTTTGCATGCGCTCAATAACATTGTACAGAAACTTCAGTAATGAGTTTGAGCTCAATGGGACAGATGTAAGCCTTTGTCAATTTAGGATTTTCTGGCTGCAAATCCTGGTGCTGTAATGCAGAAAATGGAGATCAAAAATTTGCTTGGAATCGTTGAGTTGCTCATTCAAAAGTAACATAAGTTCAGTTCAAGTTCTGTTAAACTCATCCATACAACGAAGCGCTTGGGCAAGCTTCTAGTGCGGCATCTGTCGGATTATTTAGGACGCTGAGCATGCGTGTTCGCTCAGCTGCGTAGTCCCAATCAAGATGTTTATTGATGTCATACTTTTCTTTAAAATCTGAAGGTATACCGTCTCAATTTTTTGCATCATATCCCTAATGACGTCGCGATTATCAGTGGAGCGACCTCTAGTTGGTGTATCCGGCACTTCTTCAACATCGGTTTCCACTGTAACGACGTCTAGTACCTCTTCGTCTACTATTGCAATTGACGAGGGATCCCATGAAGGAGTTGGTGCTATATCGCCCTTAGTTGCGACGGCCTATCAAAGTGAATTTATTGAAACTTTCTACTGATGTATAGTATTAGTTATCACCCGGGGATTGCCATGAGATGGGTACAGCAGTGCCGCATGGACGTGCATGCAGCTTATTCCGCTTTTGGCATCCATCGAGCAACTGCAAGCAAAAGCATAGGGGTACGCTTTGCATTCTGCTCGACGGCAGTGATTGTTGTGCTGACAATTATATGTTAAACATTTGAATAAACAGAATAAATTGGTATGTTTCAGTGAACCTAAATTGCATGGACAGTACTGCTCCTGAACATTGTACAAGTTGCTGTTGTCAGCAACTTGCCACTTTCCTGCTCCTCTCACAACAATTAGTTCCTTCTGAGCAGCGTACTTGGTGACTGCAGCAGTGTGATGTTTGTGATGTTGCTGTAGTCTGTACCTGCCTTCTTCAACTCCTCTTTCCATCTGATTTTATGTGATATAGTATGTAGAACAAGGCTCGTTTTATTGTAATACCATAATAATTCGCTCCTCCTCGGTTTCGGCAGTCAATCCAATAAGGAGATGTATGAGACTGTCGACCTCACGTAAGCCATGTGTTCTTTTAAGTGGTATCCAATCATAGACAAAATTGTTTTCGTTTTTTCTTATATGTGGTCAGATATTGCTCTCTACAAGTGAACTTTTTTATAATGTCAGTTCGAAATCTGCTTGTCACAACTATGCCGTCACTAATTGGCGATATTCGGCTCTTTCATCATATCTTTTTGCATTTTTCCGAAGCTTATAGACAGACATCTAGGCTTCAAATTCTTTTGGACTTATCGAGCATCATTTTGATTTGTCCTCTCAATTCTCATTGTTTTGCTCTTTATCTTAGCCCTCTTAATTCTTGCAGAACCTATCGTGGGGTTTCAGTGCTAGCAGTTATGGTAAGTATTGAGAAAATGTATCACTGCAAAATGCACCAATTATAGATGTTTCTCAAAAGCCATCAGAAGTGATTTACAGTGTGACGCGTTGTGTACTCTCTCTCTTTGTTTCACTTTGTGCTTATTTAAATCCTATTTTGAATTATTGCTGAGAACTTAGTATTGTTCAAACTCGGTTCCAAATTCATACTGAAATGGACAGCAAATAATATGATCAAATGTAATTGAGAAAGTTCATTTCATCTGCGAACTAGATTGCCTTATCAAATTTATTTTTTCGTCGAATCACCTTGTTTTCGATGTTGACCATTGTGCGTTCGTGCAATTGCACCAGTGCAATTTAAGTGTTCAGTGAACGAAATTCCGTTGCTGCATTCTTCGTTCGGAGTACGATTTCGCAATACTTTTCGTTTTTTCCCCTCGATTTTTTTCTCTTATGGACTGGCGTGTAATTCGTGCTTGTCCAAGTAAGTATGACTTATATTGCGGATTTTTTTCTCGCTAGTCGTTCCATCAAATCATCAGTCTATCTTTGGGAGAAGAATGAGGGTTGCCTTGCATCGCAACAAATACTAGATCCATTGGCCACTCCCAGCTGCAATCGATCCTTCTTACGATGGTGCAGGTTACAGCGTTTGGGTTAATGAAATTTTGGGTTTTCTTCTTTGATTGCTACTTTACAGGTCGAACAGAAACCGCGCGTAAGCTATGCTGATATTGGAGGCTGTCAAGATCAGATTGATGCGCGAAGTTGTCGATACACCTTTTCTTTGTATGCGTTGGTGTCGCTTGTCACGATGCAGTTAGGGACAGGTGAAATCATGCGTATGAAACTTTTCAATCGTACTTCTATTAAGCCCGGTACTCATGTTCACTCTCAACGCTTCTGACCCGTACTTTGATTTTGGAGGTGGAGAGGTGTCTGACCCCAGCTTTTTTAACAAGAAAAGAATTGACGCTGATGGTAATTTTCTCGGTTACAGTAATCCATGTCGCGTTTACGACAATGCACAGCGAAGAGGCAGTCGTTTGCTCCCTATGAAGTTAAAACCGCAACGCAACGGTACGTATTAGTGTAGTAGAAAAGTAAGTCCTTAGCATTATTTCCCTTGTTGTATGCTTCTATGTATGTTGGTGAAGAATTAGGTTAGGTGCCATATTCAGTTTTCTATGCTTATACGTATTAGAGTACAATCTTATAATAACCGCTTTTGTTGAGATTCGCATTTTTGGCGGGATTGTTGCGAGTGATTGTCAAAAGAATAACATGCACGTTTAATGTCTCTAACACGAGCTTTTCTATCTTGACAAAGAATGCTACCTAATCTTGAAAGCGTAGCCTATGAGGTAGATAATTGCAAAAAAAGAGAAGATTTTAGTACGAACAACCGCCGATCCTTTTTTAAGGTATATGCGTCAGAAAATCTGTGCTAAACTATTATACTGCTATGAAAAAAATCTTATTTCTTTCCCTAGTTATAAATAGGATAAACTGACTCAAGAAGAGACTAAAGACCTGCTGCCTTTATCTTTGCTTTTATTCAAACATTGGTATCCTTATAGAATTTACAAACTTTCGAACTCTTAAATTTTACATTCTTGCTGAGCCCATAGCCATCGCTCAAAAAGTGTGTATGGAATCACTCACTGATTAGTATGAGTTATAAAACAAAAAGCATTTGATCATTGATAGAGATGAAAATATGTCATGCGACGTAACCAAACAAGGCGTAAAGCGGGAAAATCAGTTTATATTTGAAAAAAATGAAACTTCTTAATTGTTTATTTGCCTGTTACCCATAGCAGATTTTGCTATGGTTCTGTTTGCAACACCAAATCAACAATAAAGATACGCGCAACACCAAATCACCACAAAACATTACCAAATCACCACCATAAAAATGCGCGTAACCACAAAGCTCACCAAATCACTACCATAAAGTTGAGCGCAACGCCCACCACAAAGCAACACCAAATCACTACCATAAAGTTGTGGCAGCACTCACCACAAAGAAAGCCAAATCACTACCATAAAGTTGCGCGCAACACTCACCACAAAGCAACCCAAATCACTACCATAAATTTGCGGCAGCACTCACCACAAAGCAACATCAAATCTGTACCATAAAGTTGCGG